AAACTTACCCCAGTGTAAAACTGGCAAAGATTCTCAAATAAATGAATTATGTAGTAGCCATGTAATTGAGAACAAAGATGCAAGAACAAGCACATCTCGACATATATACCACCAACTCCTTATTTGGGCAGTGCGGTATGTACCACCAAAATTCAGAAAATGATTGACAGGTGGTCGTTAAATATCAAATGCCACCAGGTGTTTTTGAAGGTCTTTTACGACAGCCAATTTATGACTGCATTGTTTTCGCAATAAAGGTTATAGCTACTCAACCTTGCAGGCCGAATTTTATGATACCACTCTTTCCACTTGTCTTTCATTTTGTTGACTGAAATGTCTAGCTCTGGTAGCGCTTATATATAAGTCCGGAAGGCCACACCAATTTAATTTCTTGGTTAACGGATTTTTCTAGAAAAATCATGGAGCGTTCGGGCGAAAAAACAAGCCTAGGCATCCTATTATGGCCCCAAATGGTACAATTATAGGAGCCATGAAGTCAACACACCAGGCTGGTTCAAAATTTAAACAATGAATTTTGAACTTTTAGTGATACCATTGCATTGAAAGATGGAATAACTGTTAACAACTAGGATGAAAAGGACTGTTTTCAACTGTTCAGGGCAAAATATGAGCATTTTGCAGTTGATTCTGAATTTTTATTTTTATTTGCAAATCAGAAAAAATGAAGCCAGCGAATCCGTTAACCAAGAAATTAAATTGGTGTGGCCAAAAGTCCCATTGTAAATCAAAACAGAAGGTGGAAAGTAAACCACACACTTTCAAGATACAGTATGTCTTTCTGGGGACAAAGCATGATACTTTAATGGGGGTTTGCATGCCCTTTTTCCTAAGGCGTAATCAGGCCTTTGCAGTCTTCATAATCTGAAGGCAGCCTCTCCCAAAATCAGCGTAATTCGTAATAATACATTAGCTGCAAAGCTTCCAAAAGTTCTATAGAATTAGAATACTTGGTATGTATTTGGCATGCTTATAATGTATGCGGCGCTCTTGAAATTTTGGATTTGGACGTTAGAAGAATGTTATTACAATATTTTGTTCAGGGACACCAAGTTTCTCAATTTCAGGCAGATTTTGCAGGTAAATAGATAAATATTTTGTGTCACATTTTGTCAGACTAGTACCTTGGATAATACGGAATACATCGTGTAGTATTCAAAGTAAAGCAACATTCTATTTGTCCGAATTGCAATGGACCCTAGCCTGGGATCGAATGGTCCATATGGTTAAACAATGGGATTGTATTACTGCTTGCACCATAGGGACAAGATACTAATGTACCTGGGCGGTCTGTTATCACATTATTTATCCCCCTTTGTTTGTGGATTTACGGACAAGTGGTCTAAGACGCCATCTGGTCACCCTTATCTGTAAGCATTGTTTTTCCACCCCTATTTTTTCTTCAAGTGGGACTGGCTTATTACTGTATATGCTCTAATAATTGCACTTGCAAATTATTCAAAATCCTCAAAGTCTTGAATTTTAGTTAGGATCATTCAAACGTGTCTCACATGAGAAATGACTGGTTATTGGATAAAATACTTTTGTTAATTACTGTAAATGTAGAAACTTTTGCACTGGTTTATTTTCATGATTTTAGTGGTTCTACCTTAAAAAATATAATTACTACATTGAATTGTTTCAGCCATCAATTTACAACACACCAAAAACATTATTTTTCATTCTACCACGAGAAATAACCGACACAAAATTAAATGCATTTACAGTATACTATGATAATCCTAGACTCATCCTAAGGCCACACCAATTTAGTTTCTTGGTTAACGGATTCGCCCGCTTCATTTTTTTCTGATTTGCAAATAAAATAAAAATTCAGAATCAACTGCAAAATGCTCATATTTTGCCCTGAACAGTTTAAAACAGTCCTTTTCTTCCTAGTTGTTACAGTTATTCCATCTTTCAATGCAGTGGTATCATTAAAAGTTCAAAATTCATTGTTTAAATTTTGAACCAGCCCGGTGTGTTGACTTCGTGGCTCCTATCGTACCATTTTGGGCCATAATAGGATGCCTAGGCCTGTTTTTATTTTTATTTTTGCCTGCCCACTCCATTATTTTTCTAGAAAAATCCGTTAACCAAGAAATTAAAATGGTGTGGCCTAAAAAAAATGTTAAAAGCTTATAGTTAGCTGGAGGAAAAATAAACAGTACGCTAATTTGGGTGTGCCTTATTGGTTTGGTTTATCTCAATGATAATCTCCCTTATTTATAGACCACTTATAGACCCATTAGTAGGGCTTATACCTCCCACATCAATTGTTACCAGGGCTCAAAATACCACCTGCATAAAGCACTTGGTACAGATAAAATTGGAGCTTAAATTTAAAAGACATCCAATGCGATTTCAGAGCAGCAAAACTGGACATATTCTGAATAAGGCAATCTTTATGATATTGACATGCTTCAAATTAGCACATTTCAATCATTATTTCATACTTTGGGTACTTAAAACTGGAGAAACAAGCACCAAGATGAGTCCTTTATTCTTTAGGAGGTACCCTAAAAATCAGCCAAGGGCCCTTCCAGTAACCATTTTCCGTCAGAATTTTGGGTATTTTTGCTCCACGAGGGTCACTGTACATTTGGATAGTGTGGTTTCAACTCAATATGTAAGATAAATGACTATTTATTGACTTTGAAAAATCGGGTTTCCAAGCCCTGAAAACTGCACTGGATGCCTTCAATATACAAATGTATGTACAATGGCAAGCTATTTGAATTTCCAGAAAACTGTTTTTTCCTCATAAGGCCACGCCAATTTTTAATTTGTTGGTTCACATATTCACCCGCTTCATTTTTTTCCGATTTGAAAAAGAAACGACAACATTTTAGCCTCTGAGTCAACTCCAAAATGCTCATATTTTGGCCCAAAGAATGGAAGGAATTCCCTTCTCTTCAGAGATGTTACAGTTTTCCCATCTATCATAATTGTAGGATGCGTAGGTCTGTTTTTTTTTTTTTCGCCCTGTCGCTTAATTTGTTTTTCTGAAAAAATCTGAAAACCAACAAATCAAATTGGTTTGACCTAATTTGTCAAATTTGTGGTAATGTGAAGAACTGTGGAGACCCTCTTCAAATGTGATGTAAACCCCCATGGAGACCCTTGTCAAATGATTCAAGGGGAATGTATCCATAGGATATAGTAAACTGCATCAAACCATTTTCTAAAATCCCAGTGCACTTGTGTTCTTGTTCTGTGCAACATTACTGTGTCTCAAGCTCAGTTCAATCATACACATGTGCATACATAGTATACGGATCTCTCTGGTGTGATTATCTCAGCCAAAAAACACTCCCAACCTTTTGACTCGGGTTTCCAAGTGCCGTGCTGCATAACACTCGCACAATAAACACGGAAAGAATTACAGAGTGGTCTCTGTACCTGATTGGCAGTGTGCAATGATACAAACCCTGAAAGTCAATACATTGAAGGCCTAGGGGAAAAAATGTTGTGTTTCCTGTTTCCTGACAGACCCTAGAAAAAACTGCCGCCTCTAGCCTTTTTTCGGGTGGACCCCTGCAAGGGACATAAACTTTTTAAGCTGATGGACTTTTTATAGCTCCATGATCTGACACCTGAGTAGTGAAACACTAGTACTGTACAATTGGTTTTCTAACATTGACATTGAAAATACAAATGTATACTATTAAGTGTCCTCATGCAAGTTTTACTTTGTTACACTGTATTGTACATATATATAAGTTGGATCACCAGTCATGAGAAGTGTAATAAAAAAAGAAAGAAAGAAAAAATATGTTAATCCCTACCTACCAACCCAAATATTTTAAAGACTGAAACAGGAAACACAACTTTTTTTTCTAGGCCTTATTTAGCGTACATTTGGTTGATGGTTTGTGCAGGGTGTTCATTGCCACTTGTTCAACGGAGTCACGATTCTGTAAATCTTGTCAGAGAGAAATTTATAAGACTGGACATGAGATGACATTGCTTCTTAGGCTGAAGGTGAAATGGGAAAAAGAAACTGACACAAGAAATTGCCTCCCAGAAGTGTTGTGGATTTCTTGTTTAATTCGTTAGGCCACACCAGTAATTTTTAATGGTTCAGACGTCTGTGCACGCATTTATTTTGGCCTGTTCTAAAAAAAAACCCAAGAAATTCCGCGTCTTGTAACTATGGCCAAAGAGTCACGACAGTGGGATAAGGGAAGATTTGATCAAAGGAAAGAAACAGGACAGGACGACAACTGCTGTTCCACTGATTACCTCCATGAAAAATGGAGGTATTGTTTTTGGCGTGTCTGTCTGTATGTCTGTGTGTGTGTGTGTGTGTGTGTGTGTGTGTCTTTGTGTGTTTCCGCAACTTTGTGGTCATTACATAACTTCAGAACGCCTTTATGGATTGTGATAATATTTGGTATGATGGTAAGTCTTGGAAAGACAAAGGTCAAGGTCAAGTATGGGCCTCCTGGTGGATGACCTTGGTACTGCAGCAGAACTTCCGGTTTTTGTATCTTTTGTCCTGAACAAGCTATGGTCTTGTTTATTGCTGTCTTCATGACGAATAAAAGACTTGTTTGGTTGCTACACTGTGTTCTCTCATTCAGTCTGTGTCCTAACATTTGTCATCCCAAGTATATTTCAAATTCAGACGTCTCTTTTTTTTGGCAATTCTTGTTTTTTTTTCTCGCATTAAATTTATGGTTTCCAGAGGATGTCATCCATAAAAATTATGTCTTGGTGTGGCCTTATTGCAAATTTCTTGCCGAATTTGTATAATGCATTTTCCTACTTCTTGATAGCCTGGGTTCCAGACCCATAGCACACTGGACACAAGGCTCACTGAGATATTTTGTGTCCAGTGTGCTATGGGTCTGGAACCCAGGCTAACTTCTTGAGTAACCTGGACGTCAACATACCTAGAACTTTTAGATTCTAAGACAACATTTTTACCTTTACCACTTGTTTTGTTAGTCTAATAAACGTTACGTTCACTTCTACAGGTGAAAGTGGGGTTCCTTGGCCTGAGTGACGGGAAGCGTGATCCTGAGATTGTCCGTGTGCAGCTGACAGCAGACAGTCTGGTACTACAGAGAGAGGAGACAGTCTACGGGAACTCACTCGCCGCTATAAGCTCACAGGTATGTTATACACTAACAACCACCTGTTCAGGTTTTTATATTTGTAGATTAGGCCACACCAATTTAATTTCTTGCTTAACGGATTTTTCTAGAAAAATAATGGAGCGGCGGGCGAAAAAATAAATAAAAATAAAAACAGGCCTAGGTATCCTATTATGGCCCAAAATGGTACGATAGGAGCCATGAAGTCAACACACCAGGCTGGTTCAAAATTTAAACAATGAATTTTGAACTTTTAATGGTACTATAGCATTGAGAGATGGAATAACTTTAACAACTAGGATGAAAATGTTTTCAACTGTTCAGGGCAAAATATATATATATATGAGCATTTTGCAGTTGATTCTAAAATGAAGGGGGCGAATCCGTTAACCAAGAAATTAAATTGGTGTGGCCTTAAATTGCCTTTTTTCCGTTATTATCGGGTTCTTTTGTGTATACAGAAGCAGGGCTCGAAATTCACTTTTTGGAAAAGGATTGCACTGGTGCACCAACTTGACCAAGTAAAAAATTGGGTACACAGAAAAATTTTGGGGTGCACCGTATAAACTAATCTTATGCAACAAAGACTTTATTATTTTTCTGACAGTTAGATGTCAAGAATATACAGTATACTAGTATACATTTGATATCTTTTCGTACATAAACCTACAAATTATAAAGTATTTAGGTGCACTGGTGCACCCACAGAAAAAAATTGGGTGCACAGCTCCAATTTTGGGTGCACTAAGGTGCACATATATGCATGCACCCAGTATTTCGAGCCCTGCAGAAGTATTGTTTTGTTTTCAAGCCCTGCTCCTGTGAGAGGACAAATGATTACCACAGTTGGGTAGTCATCACTAAGTGATAAAGTGGAGAGGACTGTGGTATGTGAGAACACACTAGAATAGGGTAAATGAGGACAGGCCAGTATATTTGCTTGTGTCAAAATAAATCATTAATATGATGGAATACTTGACCCTGGGAGGTTTTCTAGCTTCATGCATATATATATATGAAAAGTTAGAAGTTTTAACAGCAGAAAGTGGAATGCATAGTTGATAAGAACATCATTTCATAAGACTATTATACAACCTATTTGACTGAATACTCCAAAGGCCACACTGATTTAATTATTTTGTTGTTGAAAAATTATGAAGGGACACTGGCAAAAAAAAACAGGCCAAGGCACCCCATGATAGCCAGAAATGTTAAAATACGAGCCATGAAGTCAACATACCAGGCTGGTTTATAATTAAAACTACAAATTTTGAACTTTTAATGAAACACATTTGCATAAAAACGTAAGCAACTAGGAAGAAAGGACTTTCTTTGACCGTCAGGGCCAAAATTGTCTTTCCTTGATCATTTTTTAGTTTAGTCAGAACCCAAAATTTTTTTTGCAAATCAGAAAAAATTAAAATGGACAGGCAAATCCGAGAAACAACAAATTAAATTGGTATGTCCTAAAGGATGATGAAAAAATGTTAAGATTATGCTGTTTCTATAAATTCCATCTTCTTTGTATGACAAAAGAGGTCTCCAAAAGAAGTCCTGATATATAATGCATATGTGCAGTACACAATCCACTATATATTCAGTGTTCTCGCCAGGCCTTTTGAGCATTATAAGGGGCCCCCTATGCTGTGATTTGGACCCCTATGCTGTATTTCAACCAGCATAGGGGTGTTTTTGGAGGGAAAACCTTAATAAAACTTGCAAAAATTGAAAATATAACTTTAGAATGATGCTACAGCAAAGGGAAAATCTGTCCTTCATTAAGCGAGAAATAGTGTCTCAGGGGTTCATGAGTTTCAAAAATTTTCTACTAAATGCACGTCTTGTGCCGCAAAAGTTGCCTTCTGTACCTGACCCCTATGCTGTGAAAAAATCCTGGTGAGAACCCTGATATCATCCCCCAATTGCTGAGGTATGCATATAAAGATATGCAACATGCTACCAGGATTTATAAAGAGTTCATCCATTCGTGAGTTAAGCTTGCAGATATCTGGTAGCACGGCCTGTTTTTCCGGTCCTGCGTTCTTGAAGCCAGCAGATTTGAATCTGTTTGTGCAGCTAGCTTCATCAACAAGTCAAAATGATAAGATTTTGGCAGCTGCAATTGTTTGATAAGCTTGATGAACGACACTGTAAAAATCCTTTGTCAGCGTAGTTTGATGCTCAGATACAGCCTTAATAGAGCCATGTGTCAGCTTAACTGTCAAAATGTATTTTCTCGTACATGTCAGACATATTCTAAAAGCTTTTTTTTTGTTCCAGGTCAACAACTTTGATATTGACAGCAACAGAGTAAGTGGACTTTCTAAAAGTTTTACTTTGATAAGTAAAATTTCCTTTGAATTAGATTGCTTTGAAGTTGTTTTTTGCATTTAATTTTTGAACCACAAATGCTGTACCTTTGGAAAATGTATTATATAAAAAATTATCATTCATAACAGAACTAAATGTTGACTGTCTTTTTTTTCTTCAGGAAAGATCAGTTATTCTCAGAAGACAAAAATCTGGAGGTTTGGGGTTGAGTATCAAGGTAGGTTCACCATTTTTACCTTTGATTCCTCTTTTAGTCATTTTTTTATTCAACTTTTCCAAGAAGGTTAATACGATTTTGGTCAGTGTTCTACATACATGTATGTAGAACATTTGTGTCATCTCAATTCTGTTTCAGGTAATATTATGTTAGGGGGAGAATGTTGAGCCTATAAAATGCTTTTCCCTGCATTTTGAGGGGCAAAGTTTGCTGCTAGACTAAATGAATTTATTTTAATGATCTCTTTCCATATCTTTATATGCCAATTTTGGTCTGTCAAAGATGACGGATTGGGCAAAATTTTTTCCAGCGGCGAAATTCCCTCAAATGATAGAAAGACGGACGCTGGTTAGAACCCAGGTTTTGGTATTACTAAGCAGTTTGTGGTTGAACACCATAACTCAAGAAGCTATGGGTATGGATTGTCGAATTTTTCAAATCAGAAAAAAAAGTGGAGTAAGTCAGAAAAGCAAGAAAATAATTTGGTTTGGCCCGCCGCCATACGTGCTCAGTTTCTCCACTGATGTGGAAATGATCCGGTCGTTTTCGTGCCCGCCGTCCGAAGCGTTGCTCTATCACTCTGTTAATCCCCGTGGAATGGACACTACCAGCCAAAACAGGTTTATTATGGACTCAGGCTCCACGTTATTTGGCGCACATGTCAGTACAATGCCGCAGGGGGAGGGGGTGGCTTGGGTGAAGAATTTCAAGACTCGAAAGACTTTGCACAGATTTGGTTTCCAGGTTGTGGACAGAAAATTAATGTCACAGTGACAGTAAGAGAAGACATACTTCAGGATTCAAGATTTGGATTTGAATTAGTGAGTTTATATGATATCGTAATTTGGTGGACATGTCAGTACAATGACATAGGGGGAAGGGGTGTCTTGCTTAAAGAATTTCAAGCCTCAAAAAATTCTAACATTTTAGATTTTCACATAATTTATTAGAATTAGACTTTGATTTTTATCAATAGTGAATTTTTAGTCCTCCTGATTTGGTGCACATGTCAATGCAATGTTAAGGGGAAGGGGTCTGAGGCTTGAATGAAGAATTTCAAGCTTCAAATGTATAGATTTTCTTGTTAAAGGAATAATTGCAGTGTTTTTCTTAGCTCTTATGAGAAGGAGTTATTATTATATGATTCAGGAGTTGAACACACTACTCCACTACTGGTGGACTACTAGCCCTATCTGGCACTGTGTGGCCCAAGGGGTACAGAAACAGAGATGGGCACTGCCCCTATTTACCAAAAGGTGTGAGAAGGATTGCAACCTAATGTATGATTGTAAGTCATGCATGTGTTACAAAAAAACAGTACTATATGAGTATTGATATGAATTCATTTTCTTCCTCTAAAATGCACATTAGCACACTCAAGGTCAATTAGCACAGCCTCGTTATTATGGAGGTCGTGATTGACGATGTTCAAGTACACCTGTACTGTAGATGATGGATATTGGGGGGTGAATTTTACTGTTAGCAATAAAATTATTTAAGCAGATCAATTCTTGAAACCCTATTACGTTTTATTGTACATCGTAAAGCCATATTACTGGCTGGTTACACAATGGTTTACAAGCGAAATTCTGCCCAAGGCCACACCAAGTAAATTTTATGGCTGACGTCCTTTGAAGACCCTAAATCTAATGCGAGAGGGCGAAAAAAAAAACAAGAAGGGCCCTAAAAAACAAGATGCCTAGATTAGAAATATACTAAGAGATGACAAATGTTAGGACACAAATTGAATGAGGCGACACAGTGTAACAAGAAAGAAGTCCTTTATTCATCATCAAAACAGCAATAAATCAGGTGGAACAGCAGTTGTCGTCTTGTGCTTTGGGGAGATAGATGGAGCGGTCAGCAAGTTTCTTGTACCAAACTGAATTCCTAATGGAAGTCATGATTTCCTTGCTTGATGCTTCATAAGCTTTGGTCCATACAAACCTATTTGCGGCACTGTCGTAGTTACAGGAAGCGGAATTTCTTTTTTTTTTCTAGGAACAGGCCAAAATCAATGCGCGCAAGGACGTCATCCATAAAAATTACTTGGTGTGGCCCAATGTACATGTAGATTCTTCTAAGTCTTTTCTTAAAGGCATTCGATGCAATTTAAGGGCAATAAAATAAATATTTTGGATGAAGAAATCTGTCTAATATTGACTTTACCTACATTTCTTAGCACGTTTTCATCATCGTTTCATACTTGAAGTGTTTGAAATAGCCGAAGAACAAGTTTATATGCATTTCTTTATTTTTTGGGTACCACCCATAATTACTAGTAGCTACAACCAGCCTAATAGTATGATACAAAACAAGCAACCGGTTTCTGTCAGTGACATCACATTTTTGCCTCACAGATATCAGTATGCTATGGGATAGGATTGGTTCATCAAAAGAATTACCAGAAAATTGATGTTGAAAATCCAGTTTTGCCACCCTGAAATTGCAGTTTGGATGCCTTTAAGATTAACGCCCCGTTCACAGTGAAACTTGTCGATCCGGATCGGCCGCCGATCGGGATCAAAATTATGCAAATGAAGTCAATCCGGATCGGTTTTCGCAGTGTGGACGCTCCAATCGGGATTGATTTTCTCCGATCCCGATCCAAAAGTAATCCACCTCGGGGAGGTAGTTCAAGACACTTGCGGCGGATCGGGATCGGGCGTAAACTTGAGTGTGAACGCAAAGTGGATTGGGTTCGGGGTTCGCTAGTGTGAGACTGACCACAAATACTACCACTACCGATCGGGTCTTATAATATGCAGTGACAAGGACGTTGTGTAATGCTATGGATACATTGCCAATCAAAATTATGAATAGAAAATATGCAGAAAGATGTTTACCCCAACCTCCCTGCCCCAACGTTACACTCAAGTGGAATGGCGAGCCAGTGGAATCGAGTGTTACAGCCCGAAAAATATCGGCCTTCACGCAACGGGAGCTAAGCCCTGACCACCCAAACATGTCCAAAGAGGTGTTCTCTTTATTTCCGCTAAGATTCCAGGCTGTACAAACTTTCTGAGTTCTTTTCTTGCAAAATTTACGGCGGAGTTGCAGCGGCTATGGCATGTTCAAGATGGCGGGCTCGTGACACCTCAATCCATTTCTGAGCGTGATGCCCTCGCAATCCGGATCAGCAAAAAGCAGTGTGAACGCGCGGGTCGATCGGGATTGATGAATTTCTGATCGGGATCGGCAGTCAATCCAGATCCATTTTTTCACTGTGAACGGGGTGTAAGAAACTGCCTAGACTTTCAGTCTAGACTTTCTTAGAAATTTGACGGGAAGGGGCTATATCCAGATTTCTAATTAATATATATGTACCTCTAGACCTCTTTTGAATGGAGTATCCATATCCATTTGACAAATAGCTGCACACCTTCAAAACATTTTAGCTATGAAATTAAAAGCCTCATTCTATACATGTAGCTAGCTCATATGAAAGTGTAATTGATATCAAATTGTCGTGCATTCTTTGATTCAACACTGCAAATCTATTCAAGAGAATCCCATGGGAAGTAAAGTTAAGTACGTGTACTTTAAAATGGGGAGAGAAATCTTCAAGATTATTCAAATATGCAACCAACAACCACCTTGTCAATGTCATTTTTCTTAATTCATGTATGTAATTTTATGTCATTATAAACCATCATGGTAACACTTTATATTCGCCATATATTACTAACTGTTATTGAGCACTACACATGCCAAATAGTCATAAATCCACAGCCAATTTGGCTGCCATCATCACATACTTTTATTTGACTGTCACAGCAAATAAAACTCAAATTACATGGTGTAAAAGTTACAATTTTCTACACGTACATGTCCTTAAGCCCCTGTTATTAGAGATTATGTAGTGCGTCATACTTGTACATTTATCTGAACCAAAGCATAGAAAGAAGTGCCAAGCTATTCCCACTTGGCCTTCCTACACTAATACTATCTCAAAGCTGTAGGTATTGTCATGTTATAGCCTTATTTGATTCAAAGCAGGGCTCGAAATGCATTTTTGGCGACGTCTCAGGGAGGAGCCTAATGGTACAGTATTGTGTGCAGTTTGCAAGAATTCTAGGAATGGTACAGGCATTTTGTCCACAGGAATGGAATGTCCACAGGCATGTCTCTGGCCCACATCTATGCCCACATTCCTGGAAACCTTTGGGAAGACCTCTCTGCCCCAGATGGCCCTACTTTCTGTGACCCCGGGGCTCGTTCACTATACACTCAGGTCCAAATTTGGGTGCACTAAGGTACACATGCACCCAGTATTTCGAGTCCTGCAATGAAAGTAAATGTGAAATTACAAAATGTTGCAATTTTGTTCACGTACGCATTCTTAAATTCCTTTTATAAGAATTGCGCAGTGCGTCATTTTTTTATTTTAGCCGAAGGATAGAATGCTGTGCCAAGCAATTCCCAGTTGGCCTCCTAAGACTCTATCTCAAAGCTTTTCTGTCATCATGCCATAGCTTTATTTGATACCAAATAAAAATGAAATTACCGACTGACTGAATTTACAATAATAAAAAAATTATATTGCCTACATTCACTCAAATTCTTAAATCACTCGTGCATCATTTTTGTATCTTTAGCCAAACTATAGAATGATTTTGTGTCTTAGACCATGTTGATTTAATTATATTTATTATTAGATATAACATGTAGGAACCCCAAAACTGATGCGAGCTTGCGAATTAAAAAAATTATTGGCAAAAAAATTGCCTTCATAGAGTATAGTGTGGCGAATAATAGCCTCCTCGTTTTCATTTCTTTATATTTTCTTCTGTACCTTTGGAATTGCTTTGTACAATTTACAGTAGGGTCAAAAACATTTTTTGGGAAACAGACATGCGAAAATTCATGCGCGCTGAGATGTCATCCATGTAATCAAATCAACATGGCCTTAGCCAAAATATAGCACGAAGATTCAGACAATTCCCAGTGGCCAGTCCTACACTAACTCTATCTCCAAGCCACGCTGTCATCATGATCAG